GCAAGGGAGGCTACAATGTTGCGTACTCATAGACCAGCAGTTGCTTGGTTGTGTATGCAGCAGGCATGAAGGTGGGGTTTGCATGCAAAACGTCGGGTTGTATGTGGTGGAGCAGGTCACTGGATATGAAGGGAGGATCTTGAATTTGAACATCAACATGTTTTCTTCTATCTTAAGCTCAGGGCCTACTTTAGGTGCAGCACGTTGTGTTTCGGTCACGAGAGAGTGGATGCAGATCATTCAACCGTGTGGGCCTGCTGGTGGCTGTAAGCAGATATTGGCGTTGAACTGCTTTTCAAATGCAGTAGTGCTTCGTATGCTAAACTGTGAAGCACATGGATACCTTACGCCATGTAAGTAGTGCCATTCGTTTCATGCCTAAATTCACTGCAGCAGTAGTGCTTTTGGAACAGCAGCCTGGATTTTCATCCAGTCAATTAGTGCCTTGCTAATAAGCGAGGTAATATGCATGATTGATGATATTGCTTGAAACGTATGGTTTGCCAAATATTAGGCAAAAGGCAGGACATTTCGTTACAAACCGTTCAAGAATGTTTGTTCTAAACGACATTATCCATCAACACCGTGAGACAGAGCTAAAATACAGTCTGAAAACATCTGACAAGCCTTAACAACGGCTAACAGCACCAATTCCTGTTCTACTTCTCCAACATGGTTGTTAACAGCCAGATCCACCTGCCGCCAGCCCAAACATCGTCTGACAGCCCCATCACTGTTAGAGAATCTGTTAGGCTAACATTTCCTAACAGGCACGCCTGTTAGCCGCTGTTAGACCCCCTATGAGTTGGTTGTTAACAAGGCAATTCCCAGGTTGTCATGCTTATGCTTTTAAGGGCAACAACAGCAGCTTTAAACCAGCCATCTTGGCAAAAAAGAAAAGAAAATTCAGTGCATTTCAGTTAGAAAGGGCTAAGCAGATTGAAGTCGGCAGCTGGCTGGGAACCACATTTAAATGCCATTGTTGACGGCAGGTCAACGAACACACCTGTTCCCGTGGGAAGCTCCTTCACACCGAATGTGTCATAGAATATGACATGTTGCAGAAGACAATCCTCTGTAAGGGCACCCGCAAGGGCTTTTGATACTTCGTCGCCATTGGAGGTGAGGACCGAGTTCATTATCAGGGTCCGCTGGGCTGCAAAGTGCTGGAGGTAACCGACAGGCTTCAACGTGACATTGGCCCGTCTAATAAGAAGTGCGGAATGCTGCACCGCCGACATTCTGAGCAAGCTCGCGGTCAAAGGAAAGTCGATGACTTTGGCTGTCGTCTGTTTGGTCAAAGAGTATAAGTATATTAAGTAAGAATTACATGTATTTGGCACAGTTAAGTGCCAGACACTGTAATGCCTTTCCGATTTGCAGCTCCATGACAGGTACAACTTGCACTGATGGATCCAGGATTCACACATGCAAGCGCAAGGGCATCTTTTACTGTCATTATTCGATCTTAAAATCTATGCAATTCCATGAGTATAATGGATTTGTGTTCATACGTGTGGTGTCCGTGCTC